CAGTTAGGGAATTTATAAGTAAAAATCAAGATAAGCTTTAGAAGAAGAATGAAAGAAAAAATGTCCACAGTTTGGTGGTGATTGTTTTCATTTATCATACATTTTAACTTCAGTTTAGAATAGCAGCAGAGAGTGTTTAAGCCAATATGTGTATTTCAAAGACTTAAGTAAACACATATTTTATTTGGGAAGGTCTGTATGTAATCAGAATCTTATACCTTAACATGTGTTTGTTTTTTCCCTTCCTTTAATTCCCCACTAGAAAAATGCTACTATTTACATTAAATTAATCTTATAATTGGTAATAATAAAAACACATTTGTAAAATGTTCAGAGAGTGTCACATTTCAAATCCCCACCAAACTAATTGTCTATTAGTTTTAGATGTTGATAGCACACACAATTATTCTATTTTACAAAATCTTGCTAACAAAACTCAAAACACTGATATATTTTACAAGCAGAATAATCTTATCAGAGTATTTTAAATATTAAAATGTTGCAGATATAGGATGGTTCTCAGACTGTTATGCCTGTTTTGAGATAAATATACATGGAACGATGTGCAAAGAAGTGCTGACTGCAGCAAAAAGATAAATGTTATTTTCATTTATCATTTACAAAAACCTCTTCTGTACTTGGAAATGTTTTGTCTTCCTTTACACGTCTCTACAGCTGCAAGAGTCATGCTGTCGTGGAGGAGAAGGGAGAGGGAAATAAATTGAACTCCAACTCTGGGAGATGCCATTGGTAAGAAGTAGTGTTTTTACACACACACACACACACACACACACACACACACACTGAAACTATTAGAAAAACTATTAAACTATTAGTCTATCACTGTACCTTTATCTCTCATTATGCTTTTTTTCTGCTAGATTAAGATTAATTCCACCTACCATCAGAATTTTTTTCCCACATAGGTACTTGAAAATAGCCACCAAGGCCAGCACTACTTAGTTACAGGGTTTAATTCAGAGAACATACCTGTTGGAGAAAGGATATAGTTGTTGAGGGAGAGGAAGAGGTCTGAAGTGGTATTTTGTGATTTGGGATGGAAAACCAGGTTGCTAACTTTCACAGGAGTTCAAAAGGTGGAGAGTTGACTGAAATTCCCCTCTCCTGTCAGTGCTGATGGATCAAACGGGGGCTGTATGCTTCCAGCCAGATGGAACCAGGCTGAGAGATAGACTTCTTATGGAGGTCTTCATAGATTTTAAGGCCAGAAGGGTCCATTATGAAATCTAGTCTGACCTTTTGTGTAACACAGGCGCAAGAACCTCATAAATTAATTTCTGTATCAAGCCCATAGCTTCATTTTGAGATTAGAATATAATTTCTCAAGATATCCTGCCTTGACTTAAAGTGACGGATAATCCACCATGTCCCTTGGAAAATTATTCCAATGGTTAATTACCCTTACAGTTAAAAATTGCACCACATTTGTAGTCTGAATTTGTCTAGCTTCAGTTTCAAGCCATCAAATCTCTCTATGCTTTTTTTCTGGTAGATTAAAGAGCTGTCTGCTACAAGAATTTTTTCCCCCATGTAGGTAGGTACTTGTAGACTGTGAACAAGTCACCTTTTAACTTTCTCATCGATAAACCACATGTCTGAGTTTCTTGCTATAAGGCAAATTTTCCAGAATAATTCTTGTAGCTCTTTTCTGAACTCTTTCAAGTTGTCAACATTCTTTTTGAAGTGTTGACACTAGAACTGGAGACAGTATTTTATAAACTGTCTTACTAACGCCATACAGAGGTATTACTACCTCCCTTCTCCTGCTTGATATTTTCCTGCTTATATATCCAAGGATTGTGTTCACACTCTTAGGTGCAGCATCCCTCCGGGAGCTCATGTGATGACCCCTAAGTCCTTTTCCTGCTTTTCAGGATATAGTCTTCCAACTTACAAACGTTCCCTCACTCTTTGGACTGGATCCACAAAGAGGACTTAGGCTCAGCATCGCAATGCCTAACTATTGGTGCTCTTCTGCCTAATGGAATATACAGAGTTAGGCTCCCTATACAGGTTTCAGAGGAACAGCCGTGTTAGTCTGTATTCGCAAAAAGAAAAGGAGTACTTAGTCTCTAAGGTGCCACAAGTGCTCCCTATACAATACATGAGCACCTCAGAATGGGCACCCACAGCCACTGAGCTGAGCATGGAGCTGCCTTGGCTAGCCACTAGGAAATGCCAAGGAAAGTGGAGTATCCTACACCATGCCCCTGTAAGGAAGTTAGGCACCTATGTCCTTTTTCACACATACAAAAACCCAAGAAGCCCACACACATAATGACAGTGCCTCCTTTCAACTGTTAGCCCAGTGGTTAGCACACTCACCCAGGATGTGGGAGGCCCAAGTGCCATTCTACCCTCTGCCTGATTTGGGGCAGTATTTGAAGCCACATCTCCTATCTCTTAGGCAAGTCCCTTAACTACTATACTATGGAATATTCCAGGGTGGGTCTGTCTTTCAATCTCCTGTTGAAACTGTTCTATTCTTTGCAATTAAACAGTCATTAGAACAGAGACTTGAATTTAAGTCTCCCAAATCCAAGAAGAATACCCTATCCACTGGGCTATGGAGTCACTCTCTCTCTCTCTCTTTCTTTGGTCCCATGATTATTCAATTAGTTATAACAAGTGGAACAGCTTCAACAGGAGTCATTGAGAGAAACCAACCCAGAATATTCCATAGCCCAGTGGCAGGTAAATGCCTAAGTGTCTAAAATCGCTTTGATCTTCCCCCATTGTTCCTTCCAGACTCTAAGGCCAGGAGGGACCATCATGATCATCTAGTCTGATCTCCTGCACATTGCAGGTCCAGAACCCCATCCACCCATTCCTGCAGTCTTTTCTGTACAAAGACTTCACATGGGTGGCCCTTTGTTTTGTTGGGCCTGTTATTGGCTAAAACACCAAACAAGAGAAACTAAGGCAACATTTTTCCGTGGTAGGAAAACTACTGTTCATATTTTCTTTGAAGAATTCTATGGGTTTGACCATTTGTTAGGCTTGGCTGACACATGAACGTGCCAAATGAGGTATTCTTAATTGGTTGTAAAATGAAACTGAATTAATTTTTAGTAAGTAAACACCGAGAAAAAATGAGAGGAATTGTGTGTATGAGAGAGAGAGACAGAGACAGAGAGAGAGATATGCTAAAATTTAATTTTCCAGAGGCTGTGGATTGCAGCCATCAGAGGGCCTATTCTCCCTTGTAGGATACAGTTTCAGGTAACTCCAAGGGGAAATTAGGACCTCGTGAGATTGGCTTGATTAGAAGCACCAAGTGGATTACTTTTATCCTGCCAATGAGGAAGGGAATAAGACTTCTACATAGTTATCTGAGTCAAGATTAAACTAAAAGTTAGAACAAATCTTTGTAGCATACTCCATAGCCAGGGAAATGTCAATTCAAAAGTAATTAGACCAAATATAAAGATGTAAATATTCAGAAAACAACAACAACAACAGAGCGTCCACAGACTGGTGTGAAAATACAGTGCCTACAAAAACTGATTAGCTCACTGACTTGAGCCACTATGTTAATTTCCCAATCATAGTTTAACTCTGATTCTGAAAGCATATCTGCTAATGCAGACCCTGCAGCATTCACACTGTTAAATCTTTCTATGCATAGGGAGCACAGAAGGGAAAAAAAGCACACAAGGGAATTGGGGAAGACCCAATAGTGCATTGAAACTGTTGATGATGGTGTTTAGAGGATGAGGGGACTGATGATGGAGTTTAGAGGATGAGGGGACACACTGTTAAATATAAACCATTCATTTTGTGAAGAACCCCAGCTAATTCCTTTCCTTTTTATGCAATAAAAAGAACAAAAAAGGTATTTAGGAAGTGCCCACTCCAGTCCTACTGACAAGAAAATTGGGATTTTGTAGTGAAAATAGAAAGAACTGTGAAAAATACACAATAGAAGTCCAAATAAAATAACAAGTTCAAACATACAAAGTAGCCTTAGTATCTGAGGGAAAATGTAGGATCACTCAGAAGGGCAGACAGTGGTGAAAGTAGTAAATTCCTCTGACTAAAAAAAGTTATTGATTTTCAAAGTAGTAAAGGATGGGCATGGATGGATGTGTAAGAGGGATCAAGTTCCTTACCCTATAGGCATATATTGAAAAGGATATTTTTCTTGGTGATCTGAATAGTAGTTGTGAAATCATTAGGACCGGTAGCCACATTTTCAGTTGGCCCCATCTTCATTATAGTCCCAATCAAACCTTTCTTCCAAACACTCCCAGACTTGGTGGCGAAGGAGTTTAAAATCTACATCAGAATCGTCTGGCTCAGGGCCATCTCTACTTAAGGGAAGACTGAGTAAGGTTCTCAGGAAAAAAAGGGCAAAATTATGGACATTCCAATTCAGAGGCATTCTAAAGTTTAGCATTGCACAATCTTCCTACGCTAGTTAAACTGCACAGAGAGATGACTCATCATGAGGGCGACTCTAAATTTTCCTAGTGCAAAAGTGAGACATTTCCGGTAAACAAGGAAATATGACTAGTGTTTGAAAGTAATGAAGCTCTACTAATCTACAGTAAATGTGACAATTATATGTACATGTTGTTAATTAGCATCTTATTTATCTGGCAGTAAACAATCATTTTCAACAAATTTTAGCTATCAACACATTTCAGAAAAAAAAAGGCATTTTCAAGTTTCTTCTTCCATTGTGCTAGCTTTGTTTTTTTGTAATATCATACCGATCACACTGTCTGTGAAAATTCTCAGCTTTTTTCAAGCCTCTGTATCTATGTGTTAGAGAGGGAAACAGCAACAAAGCAGCAAAATGTTTCTGTGCCTTTCAATGTTTAATGCATAAACAGAGCAAGAGAATAACCTGAAATATCAGCAACATTGAGCACCAAAATAAGAGTTTTTAAGTCTGCAAACAAAGTTTGCTAGAAAGACAGGTATTTTAAACTATTCTGCTAAAGGAATCCCACTAAAAAAATTAAAATACTTACTGTGAAGATACTGAGCAATGTTTATTATCCATTCATCTGTTAATCTCCCAGCTTTTGATATCTTGGTACATTTCAGCTGACTTGAAGATTCTCTCGATTCAATCCAACAAATTGTGTCCTTATTGTATATAAAATCCAGTGTATTAATTCCATTTCCTTTCACTGAGTTTGGAGTAGAAACTTTACTTCCATTAAGATATAATACTTCAATAGTTTCAGAGCTTGCAATCAGAAGAACTGGAGGTCTGTCACTGGGCTCTAAAAAAATAAATGAGCAAAAAGTTTAGTTGACAGATCATCCTATTACCATCTTTCCAAAACACACGTAGCATTTATGTTACCTTAGCTATATATTTAAAAAAATATTTAAATATAACACATTGGTTTTTTTTCTTTTGACTGAGAATGCACCATAGTAATTGAGTTTACCACTCAGTAATATTTAATGTAAATGTTTCTTAACTTTTACTCTGCTTTTGTTATGAGTCTGTACAGCACCTAGCACAGTAGGATCCTTATCCACGACTAGAGCTCCTAGGTGCTAGTAGAAGACAAAGGCAAAGTCCAGATGTACCACAAAGTATGTTCAATGGAATTACTTAAAAGCAACAAGGAAGCTAATCTTTCTAGATATATCTCTATCTGATCTCTGAATCTTCACTAGCATTAGTATATACAATGTTCATGTTCAGTATGAAACAGTGGCATAAGTAATTGCAAGGGAACAAAAGGCTATTAGTATCAGTATTGAGAAAAATCTGACAAAGCCCCTGCACAGAAGCAGAATATGATTCTGAACTGGTGCTTCCTTCAGTATGAGGTGGGGCCTGGCTAACATGCCTACCATGCTGCAGTATATGGCCCAGATCTGCTAATCTGAGGGGAATAGCCAAATTCCTGGACTAATTACATATAAGCTGTTGACAGCACTGCGCACTCTGGAAAGTGCATCCTGCTGCTTCCTGAAGCAGCAGGATAAGGCAAGACTCAGATCCACTAAGGCACTTAGACGCATAAATCCCAGTTTTAGGCAGCAATGCAACCCACAAAATCTCTGAAGAGCTGCTGTAAGGTAAGAACCACCATCTCCTCGTCTAGCCATTTTGTGGCAAGAGAGGCACACATTCTCACAAGATACAAATTAATTGCCTGTCCTGGAGTCAGGCAGCTCAGGGATTACTGACTGTAGATATCTTATCTGTGCTAGCAATCTCCCTTCAGCCGGATTTAGGCACCTAACTCCATGAGACAGAAGGGGCTTTGGGACACAACTCTCTCCTTGGTATCTTCCATTTGCTCATTTATATGGTTCCTCACCTAGACATTGGCTTTTGTGGATTACAGTCTTAGGTGCCTATCTCTCCCCATTCATTGTATAGGAAGTCTAGGTGCCTAACTCAGGGTTTCTGGATCAAATTGTTCTAGGGTGACCAGATAGCAAGTGTGAAAAATAGGGACCGGGGGTGTGTATAGGGGGGAAATAGGCACCTATGTAAGAAAAAGCCCCATATATCGGGACAGTCCCTATAAAATCGGGACATCTGGTCACCCTAAATTGTTCCTATGATTTGCTAGATGTGTAAAAGTTAGGTGTTGTGACGCTCACAGTAAGTATCTTTCCGGATCCAGGCCTAAGTGCTTTCCCTGAGTCAACATGTATGGCCCCTAAACTCAACCAGGATGGCCCCTAGACTCTTTGCTTGGCTGATACCACTCCATTCCTTTCCCCACCTTTTGGCTCATAGTACCAAGGCTGGGACTTTTCCCTGAAGTTATAATAGAAAATTCCAGAACTATTCTCACCTATTTATACATGTCAATGTGACAACAGGTGGCCCATGCCAAAGAAAAATTAACAAATTATCACTGACAGCTGCAGTATTTCCAAATGAAAGTACAATTACAGAAATGTAGTAGATGCCTATATAGGTCCCAAATTGACTGACCCTCATTCAGGTTATTGAGTTATTATTAAACACATCTTAGCAGAAATGTTGAATTATAAAATTATAATAAGGTATGATGATGTTATCGAGAACTCCCCAGTAGCTGATAATGTTGAAACTGCCTGAGAATAGTTAGACTTTAAATTTAACTCTGGACTTATTTTAGATGACACTGAAATCTGGTGTTTCGCTGAGATAATCACAAATATGGTCAATTAGTAAATTACAATTTGTTCCTTACAGCACAATGAACAACCTTACAGCCTATGCCTTATCTCATTCAACCCTAAAGTAGGTGTCAGCAGGAAACACATGGAACAGTGCATTAAGGTACGGAAAACGGCACACTGAAGTGAATCTTTTGTAGAAATTTAAGTTCACATTTACAATGTGTATTATCCTCAATCCCCTGAGAAATTATTTCACAGCATGGGATAATAGTGCTAAATGGGCCAAATCCTGAGGCCAACATTTTCAAAAGTGGATGCAGGTCTTAAAAATTTTACCTGACACCTAAAAGCCCAAGGACTAAGTTGTCAGGCCAATGTGAAAAATACCCAAACTGCCATATGACGATACCTTACCCAAAGCCACCCCACTTACAATTCAAAACAACAGATCGGTTGTGTGCTGTATTTAAATGTAATACTGTCATTCCACATTCTACTTAATAGAGGTTTAAAAATTAATGTAGCTCTGGGGCAGGTGGAATGCAGAAATAAATATTCATTAGATATATTTGACAAATTTCATCTAACAAAACATTTCATGAATAGTATTTGATGAACCAGTCAGTTACTAGAAAAGTATCACTTGAATAAAATAGTTGGTGGATTCTGATGAAATCCATTGAATAATCTATTCACAGAGTTTTGTTCAATGCTGAGTGATTCTATTGACTTTGTTTTTCTTGCTTATGTTTTTGCATACTCTCTCTCCCTGGCTTCATCCCACAAGCTCTTTCCTATTGTGGATCACAGTTAATCTTTTTTCCAAAATTGTCTCCATTTACTATTTGCTCTTTTCTTTCTTTCTACCTCCATTCCTTATCTCTTTTTTTCTCTACACTATTATCTCTATCTCATCCCCTACATTTTTTCTCTCCCGTTTTCTCCCACTTTTCCCTGCAGACAGAGAGGCTACTTACCCTGTACAGTAACTGGAGTTCTTTGAGATGTGTGGTCCTTGTGTGTATTCTACTGTTGGGTTCACGTGTACTCCATGTACAGACAGGAACATTTTTGCTAGCAGCATCTGTTTGTCTGCACCTGCACCCTTCTCCTCCTTGTGTTCTGAACCAAGGATATAAGGAGCAATTTGGGCCGACCATCTCTCCATTTCCCTTTTTACCATAGATTGTCCAGGAAATGCTCCACAGTAGAGAGGAAGGAGGAGGGTAGCAGAATAAAAATAAGAACCACACATCTTGAAGAACTCCAGTTACGGTACAAGGTAAGTAACCTCTCTTTCTTCTTTGAGTGATGGTGTCTGAGAAGCAATATTCATTGAGGGGGTGGGTGTGAGGAACTTTGTGTTACCAATGACTGGAGGACTGTTGTGCTGAAAGATACAACTACTGCAAAAAGAAAAGGAGTACTTGTGGCACCTTAGAGACTAACCAATTTATTTGAGCATGAGCTTTCGTGAGCTACAGCTCACTTCATCGGATGCATACCGTGGAAACTGCAGCAGACTTTATATACACACAGAGAATATGAAACAATACCTCCTCCCACCCCACTGTCCTGCTGGTAATAGCTTATCTAAAGTGATCATCAAGTTGGGCCATTTCCAGCACAAATCCAGGTTTTCTCGCCCTCCACCCCCCCACACAAATTCACTCTCCAGCTGGTGATAGCCCATCCAAAGTGACAACTCTCCACACAATGTGCATGACAATCAAGTTGGACCATTTCCTGCACAAATCCAGGTTCTCTCACCCCCCCACCCCCCTCCCAAAAACCACACACACAAACTCACTATCCCCTCAATAGCTCATCCAAAGTGACCACTCTCCCCACAATGTGCATGATAATCAAGGTGGGCCCCCCCAGCACAAATCCAGGCCTTCTCACCCCCCCCCCCCTCCATACACACCCTCACTTTCCTCTGGCAATAGCTCATCCAAACTGACCACTCTCAAAGTTTAAATCCAAGTTAAACCAGAACATCCGGGGGCGGTAGGAGAAAAACAAGGGGAAATAGGCTACCTTGCATAATGACTTAGCCACTCCCAGTCTCTATTTAAGCCTAAATTAATAGTATCCAATTTGCAAATGAATTCCAATTCAGCAGTTTCTCGCTGGAGTCTGGATTTGAAGTTTTTTTGTTTTAAGATAGCGACCTTCATGTCTGTGATTGCGTGACCAGAGAGATTGAAGTGTTCTCCGACTGGTTTATGAATGTTATAATTCTTGACATCTGATTTGTGTCCATTTATTCTTTTACGTAGAGACTGTCCAGTTTGACCAATGTACATGGCAGAGGGGCATTGCTGGCACATGATGGCATATATCACATTGGTGGATGTGCAGGTGAACGAGCCTCTGATAGTGTGGCTGATGTTATTAGGCCCTGTGATGGTGTCCCCTGAATAGATATGTGGGCACAGTTGGCAACGGGCTTTGTTGCAAGGATAAGTTCCTGGGTTAGTGGTTCTGTTGTGTGGTATGTGGTTGTTGGTGAGTATTTGCTTCAGGTTGCGGGGCTGTCTGTAGGCAAGGACTGGCCTGTCTCCCAAGATTTGTGAGAGTGTTGGGTCATCCTTTAGGATAGGTTGTAGATCCTTAATAATGCGTTGGAGGGGTTTTAGTTGGGGGCTGAAGGTGACGGCTAGTGGCGTTCTGTTATTTTCTTTGTTAGGCCTGTCCTGTAGTAGGTAACTTCTGGGAACTCTTCTGGCTCTATCAATCTGTTTCTTTACTTCCGCAGGTGGGTATTGTAGTTGTAAGAAAGCTTGACAGAGATCTTGTAGGTGTTTGTCTCTGTCTGAGGGATTGGAGCAAATGCGGTTGTATTGCAGAGCTTGGCTGTAGACGATGGATCGTGTGGTGTGGTCAGGGTGAAAGCTGGAGGCATGCAGGTAGGAATAGCGGTCAGTAGGTTTCCGGTATAGGGTGGTGTTTATGTGACCATTGTTTATTAGCACTGTAGTGTCCAGGAAGTGGATCTCTTGTGTGGACTGGGTTGGAAATTGTTGAAATCATGGTGGAATTCCTCAAGGGCTTCTTTTCCATGGGTCCAGATGATGAAGATGTCATCAATATAGCGCAAGTAGAGTAGGGGCTTTAGGGGACGAGAGCTGAGGAAGTG